TGAAATGCGGTGGAGAACGAAGAAAGGTGGGTGGATGGGATGGACGTGCACCATCTTGCACTCCATTCCGCGGCACTTCTGCGTCGCCGCCTTCGCACCCATCTCTTGCTCGAAACCTTTTCTTTCTTCGCTTTAACTCTCTTCGCTCGTTTTTTTTTTTTTCGCGCACACTCGTCTCTTTCCGCCCTCACTCATGGCGTTCTTGGCGCCGAGCTTTCGAGAATGAATCCCGAACTGCCGGAAGATCTAGGACTCGGAATGTTGCGACTGCGAGCTTACACGCATCGCTAGTTGAGAGGAGAGAAACGAGATTCACCCCGTCTTTTGTAAAGAGAAGTACCGCCATTTCTCGAAATTTCGACGTCTCGTTTTGCTTACTTCGCTACGCGAAACCACCGCGTACGATTCCAACGAGCCGTCCGACTGTCTTCGCATTCCTTTGCGGCCGTATTAACGGATAAAATTATTCCTTTGCTCGTGAACAATGTCCGCGTTCAACGCTTTCGTCCTCCTCTAATAATGATCCTCTAATAATGTGGAGACACTGTAAGCCGATGATAAATGTGCGAAAAGGTAGATTATGCACAGGATTACCGCAAAACTAGAAATCAGAGAGATCAGGGAAATGTGTCACATGGGAAAAAAAGGTTCCCTGTCGCAGCTAATCTTGATTTGTTAAAATATATATTTGCTGTAACTATAAATTTATAAACTATGGCGAGAGAAATGGTTTGTTGTTGCTGTTATAATATAAGTATCACAGTTAAGATATTAGCTGTGATATCTACATTTTAGTTGTTTATATTTTACATTTACGATTTAATTACCACACACAGTTTAAAAAAAAAATTAAAACGTTAGAAAATTAAAATTTTTTTTAAAGAAGTTTAATGTACGTGCCTCACATCTATGCAGTTTTGGAATACCTCCAATTTAACAATTAATTGCAAACAGTGTCAGTAACAATAATTTACATTACTGTATAATTAAATTTCTCTCAACTAAATATTTGATGGTTTCTAAATTAGGATGAAAATTAAAAAATTTCAAAATATTATTGAAAGCATCAAGGAAAATCATAACATTTTGTGTGGAAATCCGGAAAAGTTGTGAAATTTTAGAATGAGGAATTTGAATCTTGTTTCAGAAACGTGTCTTTTTATTTATCGTTTCTTAAAAGTTTAGTAAAAGAAAAACTGATCTTAGTTTCAGTGACCCTCTTACTCTTAGATTCGTTTTGGTCGTTGACACGAAGAGTGGCATTCTTCCCCGTGAAATGTTTCTTCGTAAGTAATTACGAAGAATTGCTCGAAGCTATATTATTCTTTTTAAATGGAACAATTTTCTACTTAATTTAAGTGCTTTAATCTATTTGCGGTGTCATATACAATCATTAACATAAGAAACAATTCTAAAGTAGGATAGTTTTATATTCTATTCTACTAATAATTGATTATAGCAATTAAATTGTATACATGGAATTTTGTATGCTGTTAATATGATTGCATTTTACTTTTTTGAAATGATTCGATAGACACATAGTAGTGAGAATCCATTTCGTGTATTAATTTATACACACTTCGTTAAAGCTCACAGGTTTGAATTGCAATAACATAAAGTAAAATATTTCTGTTGAATTGAATATACGTTATCGAATAGTGTTACTTGTAAACTTTATGCACTCCCCTGGGCAATGTAAAGCTCCAGTTTAAGTGACGAGTATGCGTGGCAACAAACCGTAACCGGCATTATGGGAATAGTAGCTGAAACTCCCTCAGAGTCATCGATCTGTTCCCAATACATGAAATTAAGATATCCGTGACGTTATAGATACGTGACTTTACGTATGTTACACTATCTGAGCATTGTTATAGTTAGTCGGAGAATCTGCAATGCAGACCTCGTATCTCGCGAGTCAAATATATTACGATCCATTTCCACGAATAATAAGAAAGAGCTTCAGTTATAATTTCTTACTCTTCTCACGTAAAATTTTTATTTGCGTGCGAAAGACTACGTATTTTTTTTATTTTTTATTTTTTTACTAAATATTAACTAAATTACTTTTACTAAATATAACTATTTTTTTAACTAAAATATATATAAATTAACATCAAGTTAAGAGATTACTTTACGTACTTTTCCTAAATAGTTCCAAATAGCTTTCTTTATATAGCTATCTTTATATTATTTGAATTTTCTAAAATTAACGTTGCACTAAATTTTGAAAGTATTTTTATCAATTACATTATTTTTAATTTATTTATGTTTACGACATTACGAAGAATATCTTGTTGAGTGTGATGTAAAAATCTATAAATGATCCAGAAGCCGTGGAAGTAAAAATCATTCTCTTTAAATAACACGTCGGAAAAATATATACTCGTAAAGTTGGTTGCTTCAGTAGCCAATCGATATTTCTAGGTAGAAGAAAACGTAGTTTTCTCATTGAAACTTTCTCAAGAAACAAGAAGGAATTGTCGAGAAGCGAATGGGAATAACGTGTCTGATCCCATTGAATTTTCTTTCATTGTTCACAGCTAGATGATTCGTGCGTGCCAGTCGATATTGATGCTAATCATTATTCTCATCGAATAAATGAGATTTTCTCGTTATATTGAATTTATTGAACCGCGCCAGAATAATATATTCCGCATTAATAAGATGTTTTGTCAACGCGTTCTAATGTGTTCCAAATTTAGGCTACTAGTTATGTTCATTTTGGAAATTATATCAATATCGTATCATAAAACAAGCAATTTACGTTAATTGCTACGTTAAAACGCGACAAAAAATATTACACTAATTAGAAGTAATTTTCATTGAAGGTTGTTATGATCGAAGCATTAAAACGATAAATTTATATTTCTTGTAAGAATATGATAATGTTATAAAAATATATTTTAACATACAAATTGCTTGTTAAAGTTCTGCATTTATGATATATGCAAAAATATATACGTCGTTATAGTAAATGGATGAAAGCACTCTCTAAATCTCTTATAGCGAAAATTGAGTCAGTCTTTTGAATAAGAGTGAGAATATTTTCACTCTTGAAAAAGAGTGGCAGATTTGTGAGAGTTCATTCTTTTGGAATGAGATTCCTTTTAAGAAACGAAATCTTCCAAAAAAAGAAGTGAGATTTTATTTATTTGGAGAGTGAATCTCATTCCAAAAAAAAAAAAACGAAAATTTCTCAGGGTGAAAATATTTTCGCTCTATTTTAGAGATTGGTTCAATTTCCAGTCTTTTTAAGTGAGATTTCACTCTAAAAGATTTAGAGAGTAAGAAAATAGATTTTAAGACTTGCGCAAAGTAAAGGAACAATGAAACCAATGTACGTCACGATCGTTATATTACCCTCTTTATCATCGTTTCTCCGACA